AAGTATGACAAGATTAAAATTCTTGCGTACTCTGATTAATGATTTGTAAATCCTAATCTTCATTTTGTTTTTTTTTTGTTTGTTTCATTCCCATTGTGCATTTGATGTACCATTCATTCTAACACAGTTGTGCAGTTTAGTAAACTTTATCTCTACATTATAGATTCTTCTAGTGGTAATTATAATTAATTAATTAAAAAAACATTATTATTTTACTCTATTTTACTTGTTTTCTGCTTGCTTATTGTCTTAACTTTGTTTTCTTACCATTAAATAATGTCTGATAGATAGTTGCTTAGGTTGTATTCATTCTTTTTTGTTTTGTATCTTTTCCCTTTTGTATTGATGAATAAAGTAAAATACTGATTGCTTCATTTCATTTAGGATCATTAATTGATAGGTAAATAAGTGTTCTGAAGCACTTCCATGTTATTTGGAGAATTTAGGGACTCTGGGTCATATTGAAACAAGGTACAAATTTCCATGATAAGAAATAATGGAAAAACTCATCTCTATTTAATATTTCAATTTACAACAAATTTTTGGGAATAAGGTATGCTCATAAATCAAGATTACACTGTAATGCAATTGAATTTAACATTAAGAATAATAGCAAAAATTTTATTTATTTTTAACAGTTTGCATTACAATAACTAAATTATATATTAAATTTTGTTTAAAGTTGAATAGTTTCCTATTTTCTTTAATGTTTAATAAGGTGCTTATTATCTGTTTATTTAAAAGTTATGTTGAAGCAATTATTTGTAAATAAATGATTTATTTTAAAAAATCATTAAAAAATTATTTTAAAAAAAGTGTTTCAATTCTAATTAACTCTTCTATTCAACTAAAAAACACATAATAAAAATAATATTGAACATATTACTAAAACAGAATTTCATGTATAATTAAAATTCTAATTAATGAATTAATATTATTTACAGATAAAAAATATTTTCTCAAACACTATTATTGAAAAAGTCGTAAGTTTGTTATTCTAAATGTGTAATATGAACATTAATAACTTAACCTCGAAAAAACCTTTTAATATGCAGCCATTTTATTATCTTTTCGAACGCTTTTGGTCATTTTTCATGATCTCCTTCAAGAATAAAAATCGAATGATTCTGATCTGTATACAACAAAATTTGTTTTGGAACGTCTTTAAATTTGAACTTTCTAGTGCGCAAAGAAGTTCCAAAACAAATTTTGTTGTATACAAATCAGAAACATTCGATTTTTATTCTTGAAGGAGATCATTAAAAATGACCAAAATTGTTCAAAAAGATAATAAAACGGTTGCATATTAAAAGGCTTTTTCAGGGTTTAATTGTTTTTATTATAGAGAAGAGTATGAACATTAATTTCATGCTATAATCTTCATAAATGTTATTAAACTAGTATAATTTAATAGAAAGTTCTTTCATATAATTTTAAAAAAACAAAGGTTTTTTTGAAACTATCAACTTCAGAGAACTGTGTTTAAAATAAAATGGAAAATAATAAAAGAATCTTAGTTTATTTTTAATTTGCTTAAGTGAAAGTTTTATCCAATGAGAAAATTATTTTTTATCATTTTTTAAATAGAAAATAGAAACAGTTTCATTAGTAATTTCATAACAGAATTACAAACCCAAAAATAATGCACAAGTTCTACTTGATTTATAACATTTATTTTAGCTCATTTACTATAATCTGTTTATAGCTTATTCATGGCTTAATTACTCATGAAGAAATTTTAATTGCTGTCTTTGTTTTCTATCCATAAGAATAATGTATAATTTAACTTTAGTATTATAATGTAGATTTTGTTTATAATTATGACATATTTCTTAGAAATGTGTGTAAATATTAGCTTATAAAGCCTCTTCCTAAGCAAACCTACTTTAGTGTGCATGTACTAATGAATTATGTTTATGGAGTCAAAATTTAGTTAAAAATGAACTTATTAATGAAATTATTTCTATTTTATACTTTTTGATAATTAGAAAATTAGAGTAACAATTATTAAATTTAAAATATTTTAATAAGATTTGGAATAAATATCTATTGTCTATTGTAAATCCTTCAACAATTTAAGTGAATTTGTAAATTCTTAATATACAACAACAAGTAGCAAATAGTAATTTGTTTCTATAAATTTACATTCTATCTTAAAATATCAAAGTCATTTTTAATAAACTGAAAAAATAGTAAGAGGAAAAAAATGTTAGACTGGGCTCGTATTAACACAAACCTTTACGTGTTCTCCAGTAAAGCCCATTATCCTTAAAAGGGGATGAGTTTAGAGAGCCTTGTATTCAGGAAAAGAGATTAATTGATCAGTTGCAATAATTTTTTTTTATATCATTATTACAAAACTATAAATAATTTTAAAATTATTCTATTTACAGTACTGAAAAAGTAATATTAAACAATTTTACTGCTTTTTCACTTAATTATATTACTGCCCATTTCTCAACCTTCATTAAAAACAAAAACTACAAGACAAAAGTCAATGATTAGCATTTTAAAAATCGTTAAAGCCATTAATTTTATTAAAATTTATATATAGATTCAAATGTAATATTTTCTGTTGAAGTTTTAAATAATTCTATAATTTTTCATTACTTCTTATTTTCACTGCTGAGAAAAACATTAAAATTTGACTTCACAAATAACACCAAAGCTAATAAAGTTTAAGAAGTCCGAATTTACTATTTTAATTTTTAAATGTCAAGTTATCTCTCATCATCAGATCAAACCTTAAAGACTATGATGGAATAGTAGGAACATCAAAATGATAATTATTCCATATGGTTTAGAGTAGAATTTAATACGAATAAAACACACCTTTAATAATCCAGCTAATAAAAATTAATAAAGTAAAAACATTTTCGATCGTTTCTTAACGATCTTCTTCAGTTACCATAACATAGAATAAATCGAACACAAAAAAAGAATGTAAATACAAAATTAAAATATAAATAACGGAAAAGTAGCTGTGCTGATAAAATAAACGAAAAATATAAATTAAGCCGAAAAAATGTCCCTTAACAAAAATAAATAAAGTCATTAATTTTAAGATCTGATCTAATGATATGAAAATCATCTTAAAAAATGTCTAATTGATTGGGTGGCTGAGGCAAGTAAGGCATTAATCTATTATTCTGGAGGACCCAGGATTGAATCCAGAGGGACAGAAAACCCCCGGAATATTTTTTTTATATGTTGGGCCCCATTCTTCACTGCCTGGCTGCTCCACTGTAGACAAAATCCACAATGGATCTGTTAAAAAAGGTTCTTTTAGTGTCCACAGGGAAGAAAGAGCCAAAAACAAAAATTAAGTTAAGTTTCCTTGAACTTTATTATCTATACTGTTATTTACAATGAAAAATGGTAATAAAAAATTTTAATCTTTTAGAAGTCTTAAATAGTTTATTTTTGTTCTTTTCAACATTCAGTCATCATCTTCAGAATTTACATCAAAATGTGAGAAAAAAAGAGCAAAAAACAGTCTTTTTTAATCATTTACAGGTACTTTCTAAAAGATTTTTGAATAATCTCATGAAAAATATCAGAAATTTTATACCAGAAAGTGGATAAAATTTATAATAAAAAAAGTTTATAACAAATTTCACATTACAAACATTAATAAATTTATTAAAGTGATATTATAATAAGGTAATAACAGATTATTTTTAAAAATTTCCAGTTTTCCAATATTATTTAATGGTTTTAACATTTCATTAAGCATTGTTTTTAGGATAACATATTTATAAATGATGAAATGAATTTAGTACCATAGGGATTGTATTCTTCTAAACAAAGAATACAATCTCAAATTAGCAATAATGTGTTAAATTTCACAACTGTTATAATTAAATCACACATCTATGTTAAGTAAAGAGACCTATTAAAAATACTCAAAAACTTTTTGTTCAGCCCAATAAATATAACCTTTATTTATTAATTATGACATCCAAAAAGTGTGTGGAAGGAATGAAGTCTAACAGGCAAGAGAAAGACTGTAATATTTATGATTGAGATAAAAAAGGAATTTATTGTAAAGCATGAAAGTAGTACACGTGGTTGGATCTGACAGCTGTGTTTAAGATGCTGAAGTTGACAGTGTGCAATCAGTAACTGAAATTTTCATTTTATTATACAGTACTTACATAGTTTACTTGTTGTTGTTGTTATGTTTCAATTTATTATCAGGGAATTTAATTGTGTTACTTTTTCCTTAAATTACATATATTTGCTGTTTTAAGTATGTTGAAATAAGTACTGTTTAGGGCCTGGGAATAAATTAATTCACTTTCCATTATTCCTAATGGAAAAAATTGATTCAAACTTCAAATGATTTGGAGTTTGAACAGTCTCCTGGAATAAATTAAATTTGAAGTATAAGGCACCACTGTAATTCTAAATTTCTTAAGTGATAACATTAATGTTAATAAATTTGTATAATTAGCTAAAACATGGTTTGATAAAAATTTACTGATACTAGTTATTTGTTTCACTTTGTCTAAAACAGCTTGTATTCTTTCATAAATATTAATTATTTCTTTTTCCTTTACCAATGATTATTTTACAAGAGAGTAAATTCATTTTTTTTTTTTTAATTTTCAAAATCTTAACTGTCTACTGTCATAAACTAACTACTCACAATACATTTAGTATCATCCAAGTGTGTATTTAATGATATAGTATATCAGTACATTCTTAAAATTGTCTTCTAAGAATTTCACTCATTTTTGACAAGATTCTGTTAGTCATCAATTTTATTTATCAATATCAATCATATCTATAATAATTTGTTTAGTGTGTGATTTCTTAAGTTATTTTACTTACCATTTCTATTAAATCCAATAGAAGTTACATAGAAGTTATCCCATAAAAACATTTTGTTTAAATATTGTTTTATGAAATGATTATAGAATTCTTCAAATCCTGTTTATTCTTAATCAGTTAAAAAGGAACTAAGANATCTTAATATATATAACATTAATACTTACCATCTCTATCATTGATAGATGATGATGATGTTTGTGTTTGTTTATTATAAGACACATTTTCTTTAGGTGGTATATTTGTTTGATGAACATTTACAACTGTCAAATTCAGTTTCCTGGAAGAGAAACAAATTTATTCTCATCTGTAAAATTTAATCCATATTTATAGGATTGACTATTAATGTACAATACAAATGAGAATTATTTAAATTACTATAAGTTAAGTTAATGTTCTCTTATAAAATAAAACTTATTTTCTTGATAATAACGTAAGAAAATTATTTCATTTTAAAACTATATCTAGAATATTTAACATCTCTTTAATTATTTTTGAATATAGATACAATGTAAATTTAATAGTGACTTAAATATAATTTATCACAATAAATTAAATAATAAGCAAAGCTAGTTTCAAAAGAGCTTAATACTTTTTATAACAGAGATGTTAGATACAAAAAAATTGTTCTAATAGTTTCAAAGATATTTCACACTAAATAAGCAATAGAACTAGATAGACTTCAAACATTTCAAAACAAGAAAAACCTTTTAAAATTAGAATTTCAAAATTAAACAGTTTAGTTTAATTAACATTTTTAGTTTAATTTTAAAATTAAACAATAATTTTTAATGAACAAACATTTTCAATCATCCTAAATGGCCATCTTCAGGTTCTACATTGTAAATAGTTTAAAATTCAAAGTCATATATGCATGTATTAAAACAAAGATAAATACTTGACTATTACATAAATGTGAAAATTAGCTAATACATAAAATAAAAATAGTAAAAATAATAAAATAAATACAAACGTTAATAACAAATAAAAAAGATAAAAGTGAAAAGTAATGATTAAAAACTAAGATTAAGCATCAGAAATATTCAAAATTATTTCAAAACAAATCTCCAGGCATTGGAAAGTACAGTGGTGCCTCGTATAATGTACGCCTCAAATAATGGACGCTGCGAACAACGGACTTTCTGTTTGGCCGTTACGTCACTCGAGCAATGGACTGACTGTGAATAACAGACTTTCTGTTTGGCAGTTATGTGAGGCGAACAACAGACTTTCTACGAACAGGTGCGAATGATGTTTCCACTCTTTTGCTGTTGCCAATGACAATCTGCTATTTTTAGAATATATTAAGTATATCTGAAGTACAGAGCTCCCGTTGGGATTCGGCTTGCTCCCTTGTTTATTACATACATCATCTCAGTGCAGGGTATTTACATTTATTCAAGTGTTGTGCAAATCATGGCTTCTAAAAAACAGAAAGGTGATTTCAATTGAAGCAAAGCAAGAAATCATCAGAATGAGTGAAAGTTGACAAGGACTTCCTTGTCAAATGGGGAGAGATTCAGAAGTTTACCAACACTCACTATCCAAACATAGCTGAGGCCAACAGGATCAATGATCTCTACAATGACACCCTTGCCATCATTTCCAACAGGTGTTGAAGAAGAGAGAGAAACAGACCACCTTGGACATTTTTTTCAAGAAGTCATCTGCCAGAAAACAAAGGATGGAACAAGAGGAGTTGATCCTGCAAGCTCCGGTAGCCTCTCCTGAATCTGACTCTGATTAAAAAACAATAAAAAGAGACCTGCTGCAATGTGTGAAAAGTGTGTGTCTGTATGAATGTGTGAAGAAAGGAGGTGGATGAACACTTTGGTTCCGCCACCTCCTTTATTGACACATTCATACAGAGTTTTAAATAAATTGACAGAGTTTTGTGTGTCATTCTGATGTTGCATTTTTAGAAGTAACTTTTTTACATAACCAGATAGTTTAATATTTAAAATGTCTACTCAGACTTATTTTATTAACAGGACTTATTATACAGACACCATCATTAAGAAAAATTTAAGAAAGCCTTAATAGTCTTTATTTTTCACCTGATGAAAAATAGACTATTAAGGCTTTCTTAAATTAGTATTTATTTATTTAGTCTTTATTTTTCACCAGGTGAAAAATAAAGACTAAATAAATAAATACTAAACTATAAGATAAGGACACAGAGGCATATAATTTAATATAACTGGATAATTTTTTGTATGGAATTTTCTTGCATTTTCTTAACACTCAGATCTTCAGTCAAACATTGACTGTACATGAAGTGTTTAGCTGGCAGAAAAGAGGGTAAGAAAAAGGGGAGGGAATGAAGGAGGGAGAAGAGATAGACAGTAGAGAAAGGTCGCTCTGAATGAAATACATAAGGCTACAATACCCTCTATGTTTGATGTTGGCATGAAGTTTTTAGGCTGCAAAGCCACAGTGCCCTAAAGGGTCTGAAAGAAAACCTGAGTATAGCAAACACCATAATTGAGTGCCACCACGAATAGCTAAGTGTAGAAGTTAGTGCCAAGTGACTTTTAGTAGGAAGACTTATATCTACTTAACACTAATAAAACTGAATGCAATTGCAAATCTTAATACTACTTAACAGCTAGACAAACGATGCGAAAAGCAAACAAACACAATGACAAACTAGATGAGACGATCAAACCGACAGAGACAACCGAGCAAGACTCCAAAATTTTTTATGTATTTATTTATTTATGTGAGATCTGAATTACCCCTGGGCCTAAATAACAATTTAAATATAACGTTAAAATTTTAAAGTAAAATATTATTTCATTTTGGTGTGAAAATATTGTTTTTCTAACGTGGGAAAACTGATAAAAGAGCCACTTCCTTTAACGGAAGTAGACACATCCTTTTGTTTTCCCACTTATCTATCACAAATCTCACCACACTGGAAATTGTTGACCCCTCAATAATTCCCCTTTTCATCTGTTCACGGTAGTGAAGACAAATAAGCTGATTGGTCATAAATGATGAGATATAGTCAAAGATCTGCATGATTCGAAGAGTATGTCGAAAGATCTCATAGGGAAAGGAGGTATCCTATATTCGCTCCCTAAGGCCAATGCCCTTAGTTAGGAGTACGAAAAGGATCTCAGAGAAGACCGACGTAGTCCATATTTGCTCCACAAAGTCCTTAGTCGTATCCAATCGAGTATAATAATGAGTTAATAGAGGAGAAAAGAAGAAACTTTAATATTGTGCCAAAGCAAGACCTCTCCATGCAACGAAGTAGGATCATCGAATACAGATGAACATAAAGACAAAGTAAACTTTGAGGTAGTGTGATTATAAATGAATTTGTGAGCTCTCTCTCTCTCTCGAAGTGTATATTTAATTAATCCATTGTCTCTCATTTGCTTAATTCTATTTTGTATAATTCCATTTGTGTAATTTTATTTACTTTTATTTTATTAAATCTTTTATTATTTGTTTAAGAAATGTCTCTTATTCAATATCTGAATCAAATCCATATTATCTCCACACGTGTGTTAATCCGCGTATCTAAATTTGATTAACTGGTGTCGGGAACCTGATGAGGAAGAAGGTGAATTCGCCATCACCAAATTCCGCTTTAAATTTATTCTAACTATAAGTTCCTCCGCACTAGAATTTCCTCAAATTAGGAAAAGCCATTCTTGTAGATGACCTGAGAACTAGTTTCACCAACTAGCCGCTGAGTAAGTGATACACGAGTAATAAACTATTCCCTGGCTAGAATCTCACATTTATTTATTTATTTATTTTTTTTAAACATTAACTTACTAACTAAACTAACCTACCATGATGTAGGATGAACCTAACCAGATGACTAAAGGTAACAAACTCTAATCTAATTTAACCTATCATAACCTAACTGGAAACTAAGCTAACAGTCCTTGATCTTCAGTCATAGAAAAAAAATATTATTCCACTGTTACGAGATATACTGAGCCCTGGTTGGCCCTGTCATGTTTGTGATGACCGTTTATATTTGAAGAGATTGGTTAATCTCTCAAATCAAGATTCCTGACACCATTTAGTCAATTATGCAGACTAAAACGCAAGTGAACATTTAATTAAGATTCCAGAATTTAACCCTTGTATGACGATCTGATGATTTATCAACAGTTTAGCCTCAGCTGAAACATAAGACATGACGACATTTTGTCATCTAAAAAATGTTTAATTTTAATATTAATAAAATTAAATGTGATTTCTTGCTATCATCTTTGATAAAAATTGAAATTTATATTAATGTTTAAAATAAAACGTCGTACTAATGTAAGAAAGTTTATCAAAGAGAGACAGAAAACTAATATATATATATACTGTTTCATATAAAGCAATATTGTTCACAAAAAATAGATCAATATGCATAAATCTTATATCAACATGTAGAAAACAATATTCTCTTTTGTGCTGGCTTGGTGCCAAAAACAAATAATGAAATCAAACAACTTTATTTTTTTTAAAGTGACGTAATTTATAACATCAAAAATTTAGGTCATAATTTAACATTGTTTTTTTGGTAAGTAATCCTTATTCTGAACAATAATAAACTATTGTGCTGAAAATTACATAAAATAGTAAGTATATATGATTTTTTTTGTATCTCTATGATAAAAATTTGATTTTTGGTGAATTTTTAAAACAAAATATGTAGAATGACCTTGAGTGACTGCAGTTTGGACCATTTATTTTAAAGGGTAAAGTACAACTGACTGCAACATGGTAAAAGGGTTAAGGAGGGTTTATTTCTAACTTAGGTAAGACAATGGAGTTAGGCACAAGAAAATTGAACAATTGAAAGGATTATGAATATATTTAATAAACTAAAATCAAAATCCTTTATGTACAATTATAATGAGAAATAAATCAAAATGATTAAAAACATAGTAAAACAATAACAAAATATCTAATTACAATTCTTCCTTTTAGAAAGGGGAATGTTTTGATAATACCTCACTAGCTAATTTGTTATATGTTGAGATCAAGAGAGAGAGATTACATAATTATACAGGAGAGTCCTGAAAACTCGGCACTCGATAACCCGGCAGTCCAGATAACTCGGCCACACCCTGGCAGGGGAAAAAACCCCTAGTTAGTTTTCATTATAGACAGCTTTATGCCTCATAAAGTATTTTTCTGAGGTCTGTCTTATCAGGTAAATTACTGTACACTGTGTATTCATTAATTTTCATTTTCATGTAGTAAAGGCTCTTTGCCTTCATAAAGTACATACTTTTCCTTTGTTTAAGGATATTTGGGCAGTTTATTCTATGTTGTATTTTCAAGCAAACAAAACATACAAGTACAGTACAGTATTTTCTAAGAAAACACTCGTACTTATTCTTTTTTAACCCCATTCCCGATAACCCGGCATTTTCACAAACTCGGCCAGCCTTCGGTCCACATTAGGCTGAGTTTTCGGGACTCTACTGTATTACCTTGATGACATTCAGTCTTCCATGTGAGAGATGAGTTGATGTCTTGAGAGTAAACAATAAGTCCATCTTGCTTCATGAAAGGTCAAGGATAAAAGCCTGATGATGAGCAGTGAGCTACACTACATTTAAGTTACATCTAAACTAATTAGCTAGCTGATGCTTAGAAGTGACCCGTCACTTTTTATAGGAGATCTTGTCCAATCAAATTGTTTAAATTAGCCTTCCACATTTCCAACATGTAACAGAGGTTGGGCCGTTTTGCAGATAGTATGCGAGAAATTCCACGCTAAGCTATCTTTCTCTAACAGAAAGGAAGTTCCTTTTTCAACTTCATATAATTTTTACAAAATAAATAAAATTCTATCAATTAGTATAACAAAAATTTGTTACATAATTTAATAAATTAAATTATTAACCCTGGATTCTCACAATTATTATTAATGGAACAAAATGAATACCATTGAGAAATTACCATTCTTCTACTAAACCTAATTCCTTGTTCTTAAATGTGATGCTAGAACAATGAGCAAAGGCTCTTCTTATTAGAGATCTAAAGGCAGACAACTTATAATTGAACAAATCTCAATCGTTCAGAATGAAATGATGATAAGACAATTTCCAGTATACATCAGTGTGTACTTCCTAGTTTTGTCTAGTAAGTGTTCATTGGTAAAATTCTCTTAATCCAACTTTAGTAATAAAAGGAGACTGCTTAGATGACAAAAAAAAAGTTCTGTATGGCAAGTTTCTTCCAGATGAGTATGACAACAAAATGAATGTAAGGGATAATGTTGAAAAATGCTAAATTAATGATGCTTCCAGTTTTCTAATCAATAGTTTGCATAGTAATACTGCTATGGGACTCTCATAAAACAGCCACATTCTACATGTAACAAATATCATTAAAGAAGAAGAATAAATAACAAATAAAGTCCAAAATATCTAAACAGCATTTAAGAAAGTTGGAAATAAGAAAAGTTTTGAGTGCACAAAAACACAGCTACAGCTTAATTAATAAAAACATATTTTCAAAATCAAAAACTGCAAAGTGTTCATTGTTAGTTACAAATACATTGCTAAGTTTAATAATATTTTGATACACTATCTGTAAATCTTTCTCAAACAAATACATAGAAAAGAAGAAGCTCTACACAGTTCAGGAAAGAAATCAATATTTCATTTTTATTTCACAATATTAATGTTTAATATTGAAATAAATAAATCTAGATTAAACTGTAATAAAAATAAAGGTAAGTGGATGTAATTATTACACCTTGAAAAATTAATACACATACATACAAACTATATCACCTCAAAATTTCCTTGCTGATATCTAAATACCAAATATAATAGTATAACAGAAAAATAAACTGGTAATATCATAGAATATTACAGTGTAAATACTGATTTTATAATTTGTGATTGATATATACTCATGCATATATTTTGGACCTGATATATTAACAATACTGGTCTCCGGATCAAAAATTACAACCAATATTCTATCAAGTGGCAATAAGTTACAAAAAATTACTGTTTAATATAAATGTGTAAGAACAATAGATATTCAGGACTAAGAAATAAGTTTTATAGTGAAAAACCAAACTAATTTGATTGTAGTGCAACACAAAACAGGGCTTGAAAAGTGTGATGCCAAAACTAGAGCCAACTCATTACTACACTTGGTTATTACAGTACTTATTTCTATTGAACTGTGTTCTATTGGGTCCTATATGTCCGTGTGTGTGTGTGTGTGTGTGTGTGTGTGTGTGTGTGCCTTTATGTAATTTCTTTTTTAAAAATTTATATAATAAATTTCGAATTGTGTCTTCATAAAAATTATATTCTCTTACTTTGAAGGTTTTCCAACTAACTGTTGACCAGCAGGAATTGAATTGTGATCAGGAACAGGTGATAAACGTGCTTCAGGAACACCAATAAATTTCCCACCTGGTGAATCTAATAATTATAGAATAAAGTTTCTTATTTAATAGTTAGTTTTGAAAACATTTTTAACTATACAGAATAATTTATCAATCTACAAAGATAAATAATTGCAAAATATCACTGAAATATAAATAGGCTAATTGAAAAATTTAAAGTTTGTAAAATTAAACATTATCAATTACTACACTTAAATTAGTTTAAGTAAATTTTGTTATGTCTGAAAAATCAATTATCCAAAATAAAATTCATCCAAATAATTATAATTATATAATTTATTTATTTCCCTTTAATAATTTCATATTTCACACCTGACTTAATTAATATTAAATTAAAAACTGACATACAATTTAATATATGATTGTACTTTGAAAATGAATACTTTACTGTCTAATATATGATAATTTTGAAAATGCATAATTAAATCTTATAATTATAAAAAGAAAAAGAAGCTAGAAAGTAAGTTAATATTATACTAATAATTTGAATATTTACCATTTAAAGGAATACCAAGGGATGACAATATTTTTTCTGTTTCATCTCTAATATCTGTTTTTGATGACTTAAATGTGTCTTCAGTCTGTAAACGAAAAATAAATATTCATTGCAACAGATATATTTTAAATTCTTAACAAAAGTTTTATAAATCTACATTTAAATTTATTAGTATATCAGATAAAAAAACTACAGTAAAAATTTCAAAATTCAATTGAATACAAAACAATATACTAATATTTTGATTTATGTTATATTTTATAATTAGACAATTATCAACACTAAATGATTGAATTAAAATAATTTTTTTTATCAATGTTACATAACAGCAATAAACATACATTATGGCAATGTTAGTTATTATTTTAACAAATTTCATTTTTTAATATTTGGAGTAACTTGAAAAGAGAATATCATAAAAACTTGTCATCTGGAAAAAATTTTTCACAACCAGACAATCTGCCAAATTATCAAACTATTAAAAAACTAAATAATTAAATTGATTTAATTAGAATGAAGTTACATCAAAAATGCTCCAAAAAACTTTAACATGCAGCTTATTTTGCTAAAATACCGAACATTTTTGGTCAGCTTCACTGACCTTCTTCAGGCTTGAACAAAAAAGTTTAATTCAAACTGAAGATTCTTTTGCCAAACAGAAATTCTAGAAGGCTTTTTTTAAAAACAAACTATCGTAGATTCAAATGCATCAGTTTGCTCTTTTAAATTTGCGAAGCCGCCGCTTTCCATGCTGATGCTAGTTTATAGGATTCCCGGAAATTTATAGATTCCCCTTTTTCGTTGTACTTATTAATATGCCATGCTTCTGTATACTTTAGATGCCATCTGCTTGCAGCTTTTTGTATAAGGTTTTTTGGAGCATTTTTGAAGTATTGCAATTAAGTGCAGTTGGAGATATAGAATGAAGTTGTTTATCTAACTTTGTATTACAAGTTAGATATTTTAAATTAAAACTCTAAATTTTTAAACTGTAAGTTTTAAATTTATGAAATATGTAATATAAATTTAATAAGATATATAATTATTACTTTTATAGTTATTTAAATTTTTCAATTTTAATAAAGAACAATTTTTATTGCTAAAATCCTAGTATAGGTCCACTACTGATGGTCTGGCCCCTCCTTTAATCAGGACAAAATTATGAGGAAACTTGAAATTTCCATGGCCACAAGACTAGTTAACTGAGCAACCACAGAAAGCATTGTGTACAAGGTGCATTCTTTACATTATACTGCATTTGTTGGTGGTGTTACTGCAATTTTGTGATATTAGTTTGTTTTGCTTAAATTTAAGCCTAGCTATGGCTTTTAAGAGGGATGATAGTGTCAGTGGTGATGTCAAATGTACCAATCTACATTGATCCAAGATAAAGTAATTGAAAAAAATGAACTGTGGTGTTTCAGTGTTTAAGCTGTGTGACATTTATGGTATTCATTCATCAACTGTGTCTTTATTTCATTTAATTGTTTATTTTATTTACATTTACACAACATTTATTTAATTTAAGCTTCTAGCAGTCCATCATATACTCTAGACACTTGGGAGATGTAAAATTAATGGGTTAGAGGTATGTTGAATTATTATACAAGACCACAGTTGGTCTAGTGAAATGGTTAATTTCGCAAGGCTTTGGAACCAAGGGTGCTGGAAATTTGGTGGTTACATGTACTGAGAAATATCTTCATATCAATTCCAGTTTAAATAGAATATTATAATTAGTACAGTATACAGTGTTATAATATATTATACTACTTACATAAATTATATTTTAGTATCTTTAGAAAAAATTTTTTAAGCACTAAGTAAAATTTTTAAAANTCATCTGCCAGAAAACAAAGGATGGAACAAGAGGAGTTGATCCTGCAAGCTCCGGTAGCCTCTCCTGAATCTGACTCTGATTAAAAAACAATAAAAAGAGACCTGCTGCAATGTGTGAAAAGTGTGTGTCTGTATGAATGTGTGAAGAAAGGAGGTGGATGAACACTTTGGTTCCTCCACCTCCTTTATTGACACATTCATACAGAGTTTTAAATAAATTGACAGAGTTTTGTGTGTCATTCTGATGTTGCATTTTTAGAAGTAACTTTTTTACATAACCAGATAGTTTAATATTTAAAATGTCTACTCAGACTTATTTTATTAACAGGACTTATTATACAGACACCATCATTAAGAAAAATTTAAGAAAGCCTTAATAGTCTTTATTTTTCACCTGATGAAAAATAGACTATTAAGGCTTTCTTAAATTAGTATTTATTTATTTAGTCTTTATTTTTCACCAGGTGAAAAATAAAGACTAAATAAATAAATACTAAACTATAAGATAAGGACACAGAGGCATATAATTTAATATAACTGGATAATTTTTTGTATGGAATTTTCTTGCATTTTCTTAACACTCAGATCTTCAGTCAAACATTGACTGTACATGAAGTGTTTAGCTGGCAGAAAAGAGGGTAAGAAAAAGGGGAGGGAATGAAGGAGGGAGAAGAGATAGACAGTAGAGAAAGGTCGCTCTGAATGAAATACATAAGGCTACAATACCCTCTATGTTTGATGTTGGCATGAAGTTTTTAGGCTGCAAAGCCACAGTCCCCTAAAGGGTCTGAAAGAAAACCTGAGTATAGCAAACACCATAATTGAGTGCCACCACGAATAGCTAAGTGTAGAAGTTAGTGCCAAGTGACTTTTAGTAGGAAGACTTATATCTACTTAACACTAATAAAACTGAATGCAATTGCAAATCTTAATACTACTTAACAGCTAGACAAACGATGCGAAAAGCAAACAAACACAATGACAAACTAGATGAGACGATCAAACCGACAGAGACAACCGAGCAAGACTCCAAAATTTTTTATGTATTTATTTATTTATGTGAGATCTGAATTACCCCTGGGCCTAAATAACAATTTAAATATAACGTTAAAATTTTAAAGTAAAATATTATTTCATTTTGGTGTGAAAATATTGTTTTTCTAACGTGGGAAAACTGATAAAAGAGCCACTTCCTTTAACGGAAGTAGACACATCCTTTTGTTTTCCCACTTATCTATCACAAATCTCACCACACTGGAAATTGTTGACCCCTCAATAATTCCCCTTTTCATCTGTTCACGGTAGTGAAGACAAATAAGCTGATTGGTCATAAATGATGAGATATAGTCAAAGATCTGCATGATTCGAAGAGTATGTCGAAAGATCTCATAGGGAAAGGAGGTATCCTATATTCGCTCCCTAAGGCCAATGCCCTTAGTTAGGAGTACGAAAAGGATCTCAGAGAAGACCGACGTAGTCCATATTTGCTCCACAAAGTCCTTAGTCGTATCCAATCGAGTATAATAATGAGTTAATAGAGGAGAAAAGAAGAAACTTTAATATTGTGCCAAAGCAAGACCTCTCCATGCAACGAAGTAGGATCATCGAATACAGATGAACATAAAGACAAAGTAAACTTTGAGGTAGTGTGATTATAAATGAATTTGTGAGCTCTCTCTCTCTCTCGAAGTGTATATTTAATTAATCCATTGTCTCTCATTTGCTTAATTCTATTTTGTATAATTCCATTTGTGTAATTTTATTTACTTTTATTTTATTAAATCTTTTATTATTTGTTTAAGAAATGTCTCTTATTCAATATCTGAATCAAATCCATATTATCTCCACACGTGTGTTAATCCGCGTATCTAAATTTGATTAACTGGTGTCGGGAACCTGATGAGGAAGAAGGTGAATTCGCCATCACCAAATTCCGCTTTAAATTTATTCTAACTATAAGTTCCTCCGCACTAGAATTTCCTCAAATTAGGAAAAGCCATTCTTGTAGATGACCTGAGAACTAGTTTCACCAACTAGCCGCTGAGTAAGTGATACACGAGTAATAAACTATTCCCTGGCTAGAATCTCACATTTATTTATTTATTTATTTTTTTTAAACATTAACTTACTAACTAAACTAACCTACCATAACCTAGGACAAATCTAACCAAATGACTAAAACTAACAAACCCTAATCTAATTTAACCTAACCTATCATAACCTAACCAGAAACCAAGCTAAGAGTCCCTAAACTAACTNTTTTTTTTAAACATTAACTTACTAACTAAACTAACCTACCATGATGTAGGATGAACCTAACCAGATGACTAAAGGTAACAAACTCTAATCTAATTTAACCTATCATAACCTAACTGGAAACTAAGCTAACAGTCCTTGATCTTCAGTCATAGAAAAAAAATATTATTCCACTGTTACGAGATATACTGAGCCCTGGTTGGCCCTGTCATGTTTGTGATGACCGTTTATATTTGAAGAGATTGGTTAATCTCTCAAATCAAGATTCCTGACACCATTTAGTCAATTATGCAGACTAAAACGCAAGTGAACATTTAATTAAGATTCCAGAATTTAACCCTTGTATGACGATCTGATGATTTATCAACAGTTTAGCCTCAGCTGAAACATAAGACATGACGACATTTTGTCATCTAAAAAATGTTTAATTTTAATATTAATAAAATTAAATGTGATTTCTTGCTATCATCTTTGATAAAAATTGAAATTTATATTAATGTTTAAAATAAAACGTCGTACTAATGTAAGAAAGTTTATCAAAGAGAGACAGAAAACTAATATATATATATACTGTTTCATATAAAGCAATATTGTTCACAAAAAATAGATCAATATGCATAAATCTTATATCAACATGTAGAAAACAATATTCTCTTTTGTGCTGGCTTGGTGCCAAAAACAAATAATGAAATCAAACAACTTTATTTTTTTTAAAGTGACGTAATTTATAACATCAAAAATTTAGGTCATAATTTAACATTGTTTTTTTGGTAAGTAATCCTTATTCTGAACAATAATAAACTATTGTGCTGAAAATTACATAAAATAGTAAGTATATATGATTTTTTTTGTATCTCTATGATAAAAATTTGATTTTTGGTGAATTTTTAAAACAAAATATGTAGAATGACCTTGAGTGACTGCAGTTTGGACCATTTATTTTAAAGGGTAAAGTACAACTGACTGCAACATGGTAAAAGGGTTAAGGAGGGTTTATTTCTAACTTAGGTAAGACAATGGAGTTAGGCACAAGAAAATTGAACAATTGAAAGGATTATGAATATATTTAATAAACTAAAATCAAAATCCTTTATGTACAATTATAATGAGAAATAAATCAAAATGATTAAAAACATAGTAAAACAATAACAAAATATCTAATTACAATTCTTCCTTTTAGAAAGGGGAATGTTTTGATAATACCTCACTAGCTAATTTGTTATATGTTGAGATCAAGAGAGAGAGATTACATAATTATACAGGAGAGTCCTGAAAACTCGGCACTCGATAACCCGGCAGTCCAGATAACTCGGCCACACCCTGGCAGGGGAAAAAACCCCTAGTTAGTTTTCATTATAGACAGCTTTATGCCTCATAAAGTATTTTTCTGAGGTCTGTCTTATCAGGTAAATTACTGTACACTGTGTATTCATTAATTTTCATTTTCATGTAGTAAAGGCTCTTTGCCTTCATAAAGTACATACTTTTCCTTTGTTTAAGGATATTTGGGCAGTTTATTCTATGTTGTATTTTCAAGCAAACAAAACATACAAGTACAGTACAGTATTTTCTAAGAAAACACTCGTACTTATTCTTTTTTAACCCCATTCCCGATAACCCGGCATTTTCACAAACTCGGCCAGCCTTCGGTCCACATTAGGCTGAGTTTTCGGGACTCTACTGTATTACCTTGATGACATTCAGTCTTCCATGTGAGAGATGAGTTGATGTCTTGAGAGTAAACAATAAGTCCATCTTGCTTCATGAAAGGTCAAGGATAAAAGCCTGATGATGAGCAGTGAGCTACACTACATTTAAGTTACATCTAAACTAATTAGCTAGCTGATGCTTAGAAGTGACCCGTCACTTTTTATAGGAGATCTTGTCCAATCAAATTGTTTAAATTAGCCTTCCACATTTCCAACATGTAACAGAGGTTGGGCCGTTTTGCAGATAGTATGCGAGAAATTCCACGCTAAGCTATCTTTCTCTAACAGAAAGGAAGTTCCTTTTTCAACTTCATATAATTTTTACAAAATAAATAAAATTCTATCAATTAGTATAACAAAAATTTGTTACATAATTTAATAAATTAAATTATTAACCCTGGATTCTCACAATTATTATTAATGAAACAAAATGAATACCATTGAGAAATTACAATTCTTCTACTAAACCTAATTCCTTGTTCTTAAATGTGATGCTAGAACAATGAGCAAAGGCTCTTCTTATTAGAGATCTAAAGGCAGACAACTTATAATTGAACAAATCTCAATCGTTCAGAATGAAATGATGATAAGACAATTTCCAGTATACATCAGTGTGTACTTCCTAGTTTTGTCTAGTAAGTGTTCATTGGTAAAATTCTCTTAATCCAACTTTAGTAATAAAAGGAGACTGCTTAGATGACAAAAAAAAAGTTCTGTATGGCAAGTTTCTTCCAGATGAGTATGACAACAAAATGAATGTAAGGGATAATGTTGAAAAATGCTAAATTAATGATGCTTCCAGTTTTCTAATCAATAGTTTGCATAGTAATACTGCTATGGGACTCTCATAAAACAGCCACATTCTACATGTAACAAATATCATTAAAGAAGAAGAATAAATAACAAATAAAGTCCAAAATATCTAAACAGCATTTAAGAAAGTTGGAAATAACAAAAGTTTTGAGTGCACAAAAACACAGCTACAGCTTAATTAATAAAAACATATTTTCAAAATCAAAAACTGCAAAGTGTTCATTGTTAGTTACAAATACATTGCTAAGTTTAATAATATTTTGATACACTATCTGTAAATCTTTCTCAAACAAATACATAGAAAAGAAGAAGCTCTACACAGTTCAGGAAAGAAATCAATATTTCATTTTTATTTCACAATATTAATGTTTAATATTGAAATAAATAAATCTAGATTAAACTGTAATAAAAATAAAGGTAAGTGGATGTAATTATTACACCTTGAAAAATTAATACACATACATACAAACTATATCACCTCAAAATTTCCTTGCTGATATCTAAATACCAAATATAATAGTATAACAGAAAAATAAACTGGTAATATCATAGAATATTACAGTGTAAATACTGATTTTATAATTTGTGATTGATATATACTCATGCATATATTTTGGACCTGATATATTAACAATACTGGTCTCCGGATCAAAAATTACAACCAATATTCTATCAAGTGGCAATAAGTTACAAAAAATTACTGTTTAATATAAATGTGTAAGAACAATAGATATTCAGGACTAAGAAATAAGTTTTATAGTGAAAAACCAAACTAATTTGATTGTAGTGCAACACAAAACAGGGCTTGAAAAGTGTGATGCCAAAACTAGAGCCAACTCATTACTACACTTGGTTATTACAGTACTTATTTCTATTGAACTGTGTTCTATTGGGTCCTATATGTCCGTGTGTGTGTGTGTGTGTGTGTGTGTGTGTGTGTGTGCCTTTATGTAATTTCTTTTTTAAAAATTTATATAATAAATTTCGAATTGTGTCTTCATAAAAGTTATATTCTCTTACTTTGAAGGTTTTCCAACTAACTGTTGACCAGCAGGAATTGAATTGTGATCAGGAACAGGTGATAAACGTGCTTCAGGAACACCAATAAATTTCCCACCTGGTGAATCTAATAATTATAGAATAAAGTTTCTTATTTAATAGTTAGTTTTGAAAACATTTTTAACTATACAGAATAATTTATCAATCTACAAAGATAAATAATTGCAAAATATCACTGAAATATAAATAGGCTAATTGAAAAATTTAAAGTTTGTAAAATTAAACATTATCAATTACTACACTTAAATTAGTTTAAGTAAATTTTGTTATGTCTGAAAAATCAATTATCCAAAATAAAATTCATCCAAATAATTATAATTATATAATTTATTTATTTCCCTTTAATAATTTCATATTTCACACCTGACTTAATTAATATTAAATTAAAAACTGACATACAATTTAATATATGATTGTACTTTGAAAATGAATACTTTACTGTCTAATATATGATAATTTTGAAAATGCATAATTAAATCTTATAATTATAAAAAGAAAAAGAAGCTAGAAAGTAAGTTAATATTATACTAATAATTTGAATATTTACCATTTAAAGGAATACCAAGGGATGACAATATTTTTTCTGTTTCATCTCTAATATCTGTTTTTGATGACTTAAATGTGTCTTCAGTCTGTAAACGAAAAATAAATATTCATTGCAACAGATATATTTTAAATTCTTAACAAAAGTTTTATAAATCTACATTTAAATTTATTAGTATATCAGATAAAAAAACTACAGTAAAAATTTCAAAATTCAATTGAATACAAAACAATATACTAATATTTTGATTTATGTTATATTTTATAATTAGACAATTATCAACACTAAATGATTGAATTAAAATAATTTTTTTTATCAATGTTACATAACAGCAATAAACATACATTATGGCAATGTTAGTTATTATTTTAACAAATTTCATTTTTTAATATTTGGAGTAACTTGAAAAGAGAATATCATAAAAACTTGTCATCTGGAAAAAATTTTTCACAACCAGACAATCTGCCAAATTATCAAACTATTAAAAAACTAAATAATTAAATTGATTTAATTAGAATGAAGTTACATCAAAAATGCTCCAAAAAACTTTAACATGCAGCTTATTTTGCTAAAATACCGAACATTTTTGGTCAGCTTCACTGACCTTCTTCAGGCTTGAACAAAAAAGTTTAATTCAAACTGAAGATTCTTTTGCCAAACAGAAATTCTAGAAGGCTTTTTTTAAAAACAAACTATCGTAGATTCAAATGCATCAGTTTGCTCTTTTAAATTTGCGAAGCCGCCGCTTTCCATGCTGATGCTAGTTTATAGGATTCCCGGAAATTTATAGATTCCCCTTTTTCGTTGTACTTATTAATATGCCATGCTTCTGTATACTTTAGATGCCATCTGCTTGCAGCTTTTTGTATAAGGTTTTTTGGAGCATTTTTGAAGTATTGCAATTAAGTGCAGTTGGAGATATAGAATGAAGTTGTTTATCTAACTTTGTATTACAAGTTAGATATTTTAAATTAAAACTCTAAATTTTTAAACTGTAAGTTTTAAATTTATGAAATATGTAATATAAATTTAATAAGATATATAATTATTACTTTTATAGTTATTTAAATTTTTCAATTTTAATAAAGAACAATTTTTATTGCTAAAATCCTAGTATAGGTCCACTACTGATGGTCTGGCCCCTCCTTTAATCAGGACAAAATTATGAGGAAACTTGAAATTTCCATGGCCACAAGACTAGTTAACTGAGCAACCACAGAAAGCATTGTGTACAAGGTGCATTCTTTACATTATACTGCATTTGTTGGTGGTGTTACTGCAATTTTGTGATATTAGTTTGTTTTGCTTAAATTTAAGCCTAGCTATGGCTTTTAAGAGGGATGATAGTGTCAGTGGTGATGTCAAATGTACCAATCTACATTGATCCAAGATAAAGTAATTGAAAAAAATGAACTGTGGTGTTTCAGTGTTTAAGCTGTGTGACATTTATGGTATTCATTCATCAACTGTGTCTTTATTTCATTTAATTGTTTATTTTATTTACATTTACACAACATTTATTTAATTTAAGCTTCTAGCAGTCCATCATATACTCTAGACACTTGGGAGATGTAAAATTAATGGGTTAGAGGTATGTTGAATTATTATACAAGACCACAGTTGGTCTAGTGAAATGGTTAATTTCGCAAGGCTTTGGAACCAAGGGTGCTGGAAATTTGGTGGTTACATGTACTGAGAAATATCTTCATATCAATTCCAGTTTAAATAGAATATTATAATTAGTACAGTATACAGTGTTATAATATATTATACTACTTACATAAATTATATTTTAGTATCTTTAGAAAAAATTTTTTAAGCACTAAGTAAAATTTTTAAAATCTTTTGCTCACATCTTCATAGACATGAATGATATCTATAAGTGAAAGATTTCATATTGCTCAAAGTTAATTTTCATGTATTTTATAGGTAAAAACTAAAAATAAATAAAACAATAAGAATATTTTTTCTTCTTAACTTTATTGAAATGAAAATAATTTTATTGGCTATACGATAAAACAACTATTCCATCATTCAATTAAAAATCTACAACTTTGAGATAAAATCATCATTAATTGAATAAGTTTCTATTTTTATGCTTAGAAATTCCCATTAAAAGTAAGATTTTGTATATATTACAAATATTTTTTCCCTTCAAAGAAATGTTTCTCTTGATTAAAATAATCTATATTTTATGAATCTCATGCATTATTTCTAAATAAAATGTATTTAATTATAATAAAAATATTTAACATCTGAAAGCTAAAAATAAACAAACAATAATAATACTAACTTAATATTTAAAACAAACAAACATATATATATATATATATATATATCTACACACACATTGGTGGAAATTGAAAGTGTTACATCCAGATGGAATTGGTGTAACACTATGAAGAATGTCCATTTATTCCTTTTCAATATGAACCAAAAGTATGATCTGAATAATGTTTTATGATGATAAAGCCAAGAAAAGATCTGAATGTCTTTCTGTCTTTCTGTAAGACCAGACTAAGACCCTGGTAATGAGTTTTAACAGATGCTAACCAAAATGAGAAAACATCTTCAATACTGATTGATGTGAGAAATGTAATGTAATTAAAAAGTAATTAATTTATGGCATTTGCAGTCCAAAAGAATAATCAGCAGTCATTGTTAAATATTATACCCTACTATTGGGTCAACAACCAATAATAGATGTTTTTGATTGTAATAAGTGTTTAAATTAAACTCCTTTTTGGTATTTCTTCAAGATAATATTAATTCAATACAATTCAGTATTAAATTGAGTAATTATTCATCTTAATGTTTTAATAGAAGAATATAGAAATAGAACTATCAAACATTATCCGTTTCTTGACATTCATACTGTTTTTCTAATTTATTACTTAATAATAAGTGATAAAATTGATCATTTAAAAATTTTTCCTTCTGTAAATAAAATCTTAAAATTCAATTTCAAACTTGGTACATCTTGGAATGAATAAAATTTGACAATAAGTAAATAAGTAATAGCTAATCAAATCAAACAAACCTTCAAAAAAAAAAATTCAATAAAATTTTAAAAAGAGGCTATTTATATCATCATGGTCAATGCATTTTGCCCCATGTAGAGCATGAAATTGGAGGGTTCTGATTATCTTGGCCATCAAATTTCTGTTCTGTGCCATTTGCTTAATATCTCTTAATTTTTCCCTAAACTCCAATAATCATTCTTTGATTGATCTCTCAATCTTCTTAAACATCTACTTTTTCTGTTTCACTTTGTGCTTTAATACAACACCTGTTTTACAATGTCATAGCTTTGTTTCTATCTGTATGTTTTTACATTTTTCCGTGATAAAAAATGACAAAACTTTCTTGGTTAGCTGATACTTTGAGGATGCACATGAACATCCTCAGCATATGGACAAGGCATGAAGAATGCTCCAAGGCATATCTTCAGCACAGAATGTGTTAATCCTAAGAAAACTGCTTTTTGTCAAAATTAACAAAAACAAAAATTCACACATAAGCCAATCTTTGAATTCCAAAGTTTTAAATCAATTTATGCATCATCACTGATCCTGTGACTTTGGGCACTATTCACACATATGCAGACAAGATAATGATTAATCAAAATAGTTATTCTCACATGCAATAACCTTTTCCCAATGGGAAACATGTTTGTAAATACCATTTTTGAATAAATTGCAATTTCTAAAAGCAAAAAACTCTCCAATGCCTCCAATTTGTAGTTATGGAAAAACAACATAACTATCTTGGTTACCTGATAGTTTGTTTATACGAGGGCTGTTTCTTTCTCAACCTTCTGATGGTTCCATTGATGAAATGTCTAGGTTTAAAAAGAAGTTGTAGTCTGAAGAACTAATGTCAAGATAATAAGATGGATACATAAGAAGTTCCCATCCAAGACACTGAATCTTATTATAGGTTATATGTTCAACAAGTGGTCTTGTATTATTCTGTAAGAGATACTTTTGTGGTTCACTCTCATTGGCTGATTTTTTACAAGAACTTCATGAACTTGCTGTAGTTGGGCATAGTAGACATCTGCAGTAATTGTATAACCATATAGTAACAATTCATAGTGAATAATTCCCACTATTGTCCACTATATACACAACACCACCTTCTGCTAATGGGCACTGGGTTTGCAGATCTGTAATAGAACATCTGTAGATGATATCAAATGATGTATCTCTTAATATTACTGTATAAATCCACATTTCATCATATTTTAAAAGGCAATCCAGAAATGAGTTCTTTTGGTAATGAGTAAGCAATCCCATGCAAACAGTCAATTGATGATGCTTATTGGCAGGTGTCAGTTGAGGTGGTCAGTTGATGTGTACAGACTCAGCAAATAGATATACATTTGCTGAGCTTGTACACTTTTCCAAGACAATGTAAACATATACAAATAGTTTTGTCATAAACTTTGAATCTTTGTGCCAATGCCTGGCATATTTGAACCGAATCAGTTTCAATTGCAGTTGTCAATTCATCATCATCAATGATAGATTGTTGTCCTTCACATGTAACATCTTCAAGTGACTCACCAGATGCAAATCTTTTAAACTATTGTTGAGCACTGCAAACACTAGCAGAATCTTCTCCAAAAGCCTGGAATTTTTTTGTGCCACATGCACAGCTTCTGTTCTTAGTTTAAACCCATACAGCATACAACAAATAATAGAGCTTAGAGTACTCATTTTCAAGGCACTTGATAAGCTATTCAGGCATATCATCTCAATTTTTTTGTGCATCAATAGACACTTCAGTACTTCTTGTTTTCTACATCACTAAAATTATAACTCCATCTATCAAATGATATGCATAAATACTCGTTCAATTTGTAATTATGGAAAAACAACATAACTATCTTGGTTACCTGATAGTTTGTTTATACAAGGGCTGTTTCTTTTTCAACCTCCGATGGTCCATAAAACAAAGACAAATGTAAATAACAAAATGAATTTATAACCAAAAGTAAGGTAAAAACATGGTTACTTTTTGATATAATCACCATGAAGATTGAGGCATTTGTCTATCTGTGGACAAACTTTGAAATCCCCTCTTCACAGAATGTTGCCACCAATGACTTAAGATGGGCCCTAATGTTGTTTTGAAGATTGTCATTAGTCTCAAACCTCTGCCCTCCTAGCCATGTTTTCAGTTCAGGAAAGAGATGGAAATCATTTGGCACTAAATTGGGGCTATACGCTAGGCTATACGCTAGGTGGTGAAGACCTCCACCTTTCAGACTTCCATCCAGCTTGGAACATTTTAATGTGTACACTTTCACCTCTTCCCTGAACTGAAAACGTGGCTAAGAGGACAGAGGTTTGAGACTAATGACAATCTTCAAAACAATGTCGTTAAGGCCATCTCAATTCACTGGCTGCAACGTTCTATGAAGAGGGGGTGGAAAAGCTCATCCACAGATATGACAAATGCCTCATGGTGATTATGTCAAAAAGTAACCATGCATGTACCTAACTTTTGGTAATAAATTCATTTTGTTTAAATTCACTGATACACTTGTCTTTGTTTTATGGACCATCAGAGGTTGAAAAAGAAACATCCTTCATATTATCACTTGAGAAAAATTTTTATCTGTTGTTTATAAGGAAGCTTATTTTTATCACATATTGTACACTTCAGAAAAATATATTTCATCCATTGGTTTTGTATTATTATTCCTTTGACACTTTTAATACACATACTATAATTAAATGAAAAACTTTTTTGGCATATTGGTACAGAAACAAATTTTTATACTGGCAGTGAACATGTTAAGCAATTTTTAAAAGGATATGCTATTGTATGAAAAGTCTTATTAATGTAGATGGTGAATCTGGAAATGTTATATAGGTCAGGTTAATAATATAGAGCAGTGATCAACAACCTTTCTGACCTCATGGACTTTAAACTCAATTTTGAATCCTGCAGACCACTAACATGAATTTTTCTAAACGATACCAACATTTATAGAATAATGATCTTGAAAGTTTCATTTTACTTTATTAATATGAAATTCACTTGTTATAATTAAACAAATTAGTGTGTAGTTCATTGCTGTTTGTTTGAAAAAACTTTATGGATTCTTGGCTCTTTCCCAAGAAGGATGACAATCATACTCATATTATTTATTGTTGATTATTTATTGATTTATTGACATTATTATTTATTGATAACAGTCATTTAATGTTTGGTTTTAGATTTAAATAAAAAATCCCCAATGAGTGAGAAAAAGCAACCAAGCATTTTGCATTTCTTTCGTAATACTTTGTGTAACCTTGAGTTGATCAATGTCCAAATTTCTCCACCGACCACCAGTTGGCAACCACTGATATAGTTATGCAGTCAACAGAACTGCATAAATCAATCAATCTTTTGAATGGTCTTTCAGGTGAAATGCTGCTCTAAGATACATCTTAGTTTTGGAAGCTTTCCTTAAATGGGAATAATACCATGTTATTTAAGATATCATATAAACTGTTTATTTATCATCAATTCCATAATGTGTTCATGCAATTGGTCAAGATATCTGGACATAACTCTGTAAATTTGTCAGACATTTGTTCAGCTTTTAAATTGGAAAAATATTATTTAATCAATGATGTTTGTTCTGCTTCAACTTTTACATTTTGGAACATCTTGCAATGATTTAATAATAGCAAATTATCAACAGTCATTCAAAGATGTAAAAATATCATACTTGAGATAAAAGCAAACATTTCTTCTAAGTAGTCTGTGATTGCTGGATGACTGTTATAATATTCCTGTTTACTATGAGTATTGATGTTTATTAAATGGTTAGATCACATATGACACAAAGGTCTTTCCAGAGGTGTATTGAATCTGATTTGGTATGTCAGTGTTTTTCAACTTGTGAGTCGCGACCCCCAGGGAAGTTGCAAAGCCTTACACGAGGGTTGCGGGTAAAAGAAAAAGACAAGTGTTTGTAGGTCCTACACTACAATAAAAAAAAAAAATACACTCTCAGTGAGAAGGCTGTGCCTGTTTATTTTACAGTACAATTGGGTTTTTGATCAATATTTAGGTCTCAACAGAAAGAAAATTAAATATGTAGTTTGTAAAATTACTGACATAGTTTTAATATGGTCCTGGGGGGGTCACCAGAATTTTTTAACTTGTAAAGGGGTCGCTTATTCAAGAAGGTTGAAAAACACTGTGGTATGTAAAAGAAATAATATCTGATGCACAGGATACGTTTTTGCTTTGTCAATGTACTTTTTAAATCTTACATTACTTTTCTGCTTGAACTTTAATTCATAAAAAAACAAAATCACCAAAGTGACTAAGTGTTTTTAGACTTTTTGGAATAGGCATTTGAAAAGATCATTTTGGACACCAGTCTAAATTCAGAGTCCTCAGACATCCTGAGAGACTCTGAAGTTGGATAAGAAAGTCAAAAGCTCTTTGGTGATTTTGTTTTTTTATGAATTACAAGGGTGAATCAAATATAAACAAGATTTTTGTTCCTGAGCAACTAAGGTTGGCAGTACAGGGTCCGCGTGTCTAGTCTGATTGGGTAGGGTCATTAGGAGTGGAGAACACTGGCCGTTTCATACTTTCAACCAATTCATCAGTAGTGCTCATGATGTTGGAGCAACAGGTACACCCCTCTGTTGTGCATTGCATAATCATACAATTTCTTGCTCTTGAAGGAGTCAACGCAACAGAAATTTTTTGCAGATTGACTACACAGTTTGGGGATCAAACACTGTCAAGGACTTGTGTGTTTGCCTGGCATAAAAAGTGTTTGCCTGGCATAAAAACATGAGTGGAAAATCAGAAAAAAACTATCACCGTGCTCGGACCAGCATCACAAGCAAAAACATTCGAGCGGTTCAAGACATTATTCGAAGAACAATCAATGCTGCTTACTATTGCGAGCTGTTGGATAAAGCTAAGGCTGCATATCGATGCAAGAGTCAAAACCAACCAATTTGAGATGTCATTCTCCTCCATGACAATGCCAAACACCATACTGCAGCTCTAACAGTCTCAAAACTTAATGAAATGCACTGGACTGCACTTGATCATCCTCCCTACAGCCCAGACCTATCGCCCTGCAATTTTCATTTGTTTGGGCCGCTTAAAGAAGCTATAGGAGCAATTCAAAGATGATGCAGGAGTGGAGGAATTCATGAACAATTGGCTCCTGACGCAAACAACTTCATTCTACGATACTGGAATAAGAAACCTTCCTTCTTGCTGGAAAAAATGTATTTCTATAGCAGGAAGCTATGTAGAAAAATAGATCATAATGTTTTTTTATTTTTTAATAAATAATTTTAAAACATAAAATAAGTCCCGTTTATATTTGATCAACCCTCGTATATAGTTCAAGCAGAAGATAATATGAGATTGGTCATATTATGAAGTTAGATAGATTATATTTATTTCTAAACATATACTTTACCATATTTGAACACAAACTAATGTCCATCTGTTGGGTGGCATCTAAATTTATTACACATTTAATTTTGATTACAAGAAGCTATAAGGAAATCCAGGTTCCATAAAAATTTAGTTTTGATAGTATCAATGTAACATGAATAATAGTATGTTTAATAGTGTTCTTGTAATATTAGTTTGAGATTAGATCAGCTAAAGTACAGAATTCTGTTCTTTCAGTATGCCAAAGTATCCACTATGGCACTGAGAAAATAATTAGTCGGTGTCTTACTTACTAGAAAAATCAACAGAAAAATACTCACTATTTGGGAGAATTCTAGTTCGGAGCAGTTAATGAATTTAAGATAAGATCTATTGCTCAGTACAAGTGGAGCAATGCAAATAAATAGTAATGACTATGCTGTATAGGCAAAGTGAGTGACTGAGAATAATCAGGATAAGGGCTTAAGGGGTGTAGTTATTAAAAAGATAATCCTCATCTGCAACAAGTACTTGTTAGTCTCCCTATTTGTTTTGACTTTTAGCCAAGAAACATTATAGTCTTTCCAGGCATTCTTATATTTACTTTGACAATGATAATTTTGATCATTACCACTGACATAAGCATTGATGATCTGTAATGTATGTGACTGTTTAAGTGGTTCACTAATTACATAACTTTGAAAACCCAATATAGCAACAAAGATGACAGTAATGTATCAATTACAACTAGTTTAAACATAGAGCAAAGTTATTGTTTTAATAATGATAACTTTATTTTGTTTTATGTACTTTAAATAACACTAAATAATATTTCTTTTTATCCAAATATTTTTTTGATTATTTTAAAATATTTGGACTTTGTTCAAAAAAACTAGGAAAAAATTTAAATCTAAAAATTCAGAAATTCGTCACATTATCGAATGGTCATCATTATGTAAGAAAAACGTGCTTCATCGTACGCAAAAATGACAATTTTCAAGTTAAATATAATTCAATTTCACAAATCATATGGGAGTTACCTCCTTAATTTCTTTCTCTTTTTCGCGTCTTCTCCTCTCTTTCTCTTCTCTCATTAAAGCCAACTTAATTCGTTTCCTTTCTAATTCTGCTCTTCTGTCCGTCATTTTAACAATATTAAATATAACCGAATAAAATATTGTTTTTGATTTAAATACAAATATATTCAATCAAATCACAAAACTATATCCGCCATCTTGGATACTAACGAGCGCTACCTGGACATAAATTTTAATTAAATTTTTAAATTATATTTATATTTTAATTCGTTAAAATTCATTAACTGCATATTAATTATTAGAACTAATTTCTATTAATTTTTTTATAAAAATGTTATTAATTCGAGAAAAAAAAATTTAAACATCCGATAGAGGTCGATTACAAGTTGCAAAACAAGTTCATAAACAAGTTCTTATATCTTTGTTTAGTGTCAATGTATCTATTTTAAATTAAAATAAATAAACTGTTTATTTTTGTCATTTCCAATATTTGTTTATAATTTTTTGAGGGGGAACACAGCTTATCAATAAATTAAGCACATCCTTATCATTAAATGTCACCGCACGCTACTGAAACTACCGGTGAAGTCATTTACGGCTTGTTTTGTTTTCATGTAGCCAACTAAACACTGAGTCGTGTTCATTATCGTAGAATTCTTGCTAAGTCTAGTTATGCTGCGATGTTGAAGTCGTTTCTAAACACTTCTTGACTCCTGCTTCTAACTATCTATCTCGTATCTAGGTTAATATGGAGGTTATTGCGTGATCGCTTATCCTCCGAAGAGCCGGCCGAAGCTTCTATTGCTCGTTGACCGTACGAAATTATTTGCGAAGAGCTGGGGAAATGCCTTCCGGGAGATCTTTTAAGGGTAACTGGTCCCTATTTAGGCGTTAGAGAGGTGGAGAAAACCCGGAAAACTCACGTGGCCAGTTCGTCCTGGTGAGGCGCAAACCCACAACCGAACTACCAGTGTTCAGAGAACGGAATCACTTGGCCATAGAATTCCAATTCTAACTACAGTAGTTCAGTCAGCTTGTTTTGTCTATGTTACTTCTACTAGTGATTAGTGATTACGCCATTGTTTTGTCTCGTCGTACGATTTGCAAGATGGCTGATTGTGCTCGACTAAATTTATTTTTTATAATGGTCATAAAATTATTATTATAATTATAATAATTTAGTTTATCATAATGTTATCTGATAAGGCAGCTTTAATATAGCTGGGTAAGCAATTTAATGACAGCCTGTTTCATTTGAAATGTCACTGGTTCGCTTGATCGGCTGTATTAAAGCCGCTTTATCAAGAACACGTTTATATTTACTAAGTCAGCACATCATTCAAGGATATTCAGAAACTTCTTAGCTCTACCCTCCTAGCCCATTAGATTTCTTACGTAGCATTCTTCGTTACTGAAATAACGAAGATCACAGTCAGAATTCCGAGCGGCTTGCTGGGCGGAACTAAGAATCGTCCGAGTATTATTGAACGATTATTCTTTGCCAGAAAACTACAAAAACTGGCAGACGAAGTTAAAATTAAACGAAAACTGGTTGACAGACGAAAACATGCTTGTAGCATTTCCTTTGAGCAAACTGTCATCGATAATGCCGAACATACAATATTTAGTTAGCTACATAAAAGCACTTAAAACGGAAATTATCCAAAAATCACCATAAACACGAAATTATGAGTATGTTACGAAAAAGAAAAACAAACTTACCAAGAATCTAGAATTTGAATAACTTCTAGAAAACACTTGTTATATTTAGGGATTTAGGGATATTGTTTTTGATTAGAATAGAGGAACAGCATTTATGCTTAAAAATAAGTTTCATTGTAAAGTAGTTCTCCCAAATTTTGTTATAGAATTATTCTCGAAAATAAAATAACAATATCGAAAAAATTTCTATGAAAAGTCATTTGAAAAGATAGTGCTAGTTGTAAATACTTGGATGCGGCAGTTAAAGAAAATGCCGTGTCTTATATTGAAGATGTTTAAACACTAACAAGACATTTTTGATGACCGTAGAAAGTCTTCTAAAGGTTTGATTTAACTTGCGAGTTTTTAGAGGCCAGTGGCGCGAGATGGCGGCGATTACATAAGACTTTTTTTCAACTCTACGCTCTGTGGGCACTAAGAGGGTCTCTTTTAGCAAGCTTATTATGGGTACGACCAGGCCCACAATGGGACGGCCGGGTGGTGAACAACGGGACCCGACATATCTAAAACCGACATACCACCTGAAAACTTTCTGAATTTTTTTCGATCCCGGATCTCCCAGTGATAAACTGTTACCTTGACTACTCGGCCTCCGACCGAGCATCAAATGTCATCTACCACCCGCTTACGACAAAGTGAAAGGTCGATCTTATGGACAGCGCTAATTCTGCTTACGAAAACCACCTACAAAAACTTACAAAATGTTGAAACTGGCGTATAACGAAGCATTTCTTCCACGATCCATATTTAGATGATTCAAGCCATGTTTTAAAGACCGGAAATCAACTTCGAAGTAGATATGCCTGTAGATTCTTTTGACATTTGACTTTCATTACTACTGCTGACGTTATCGTCCATCGAGAAATCTGCCAAGTTACCATTGATGAACTTGCCGATAAGTTAAACGTATCTCATTAGTGTACAGTTTTCTTAATCATTTGCACATGTATAGCACATGAAACGAACTTGTTCTCTGTGAATTACCAGACTTTTGACTCTTGAGCACGTCCGGATAGAAGTCTTCCAAGAGTTGCGAAGTCTAGTAGCACATTTGGGTGACGAATTTCTGCAAGCAGTTGTCATAGTGTTGAAACCTAGAAACATCAGTTCGATCTTGAGGACAAACACACCAGTACAGTTTAAAAATTACCATTATCTCCCAAAAGTTGTCCATCAGCAAGGTAATGGTTATCACTTTCTTTGATCGCTAAGGAACAGTGTATCAGCATGTACAGTGCGGTAGCTCCGCGTACAAGTCAGCAGACAGTGGTGTCTGTCATTTCTGCACATTCTGTTCGATCAAATCTGCAGAACAAGTTCCAATCTCTATGCCAATTTTTGGCGCGACAGCACCATGATAATGTGCGCCTCGCACGTTGTTTACGCTGTGACTAAATTCTTAGACGAAAAAAATATGTCGTCTTTCCGGATTTGGTACTCTGCAGTCTTTTCTTTTTTAGCAATAAAGTCGAAATTATGGAAAATAGATTTCTCGTAATTTGGACTTCAGGGGCAATAGTCAATGCATCAGAAACAATTTTGAAGAATATTTTTTCCCTTCTCTCTTTCTTTACTAGGCAGAAGTGCACTAAATTCCAAGGGAATACTTGGGGGGAACCATAGTTACTATGTCCAAGTGATTATAATGTCAAGGAAAAAATCTATTTCAATTTGTTTTGATTCGCGCTTCTGTATTCGAATAGAGAATATAAATTTTTAAAAAGCAATATATGTAGTGCAGAACATATACCAGGTGAGCAAACGAAATTTTATTCGCGAATAGAGCTAGGAATTTGACGACGCTGCGAACAGACTATACTTGTTATTGCTCTGATATGTATCATGATTAAGTATTTATATCTTAAATATTTACCTACTACGAAATAGAGGAACGGCATTTAAAATGCAAAATAAATAAATGAATAATGTACCACTCTTCTTTCTTAAGGCAGAAATTTATTTATTTATTTATTTTTTGTAGCTGTAAGAAGATCTAGTATTTTGAGCTAAATTCCTTAAAGATTGCGTGGAACAAGCATTTAAACACGCGAATGTCTTGTAATCTTCCTTTCGATAACTTTTTTTTACCGTACATAACCTCGTGGACCGCCACTTATTTAAAATTTTAAGCATAAAAAGTTTAACTTGGCAAGCACGATTGATTCGGATTGTTCCCATAAAACGTCACCTTTATTTTCGGTAAGTTTTCTTCTTTAACTTTTTATTTCGAAAATTCTCTTTTGTATAATGTAAGGTATTTACACTTATCAACACACTTAATTTATGGAACTGCAACAAGGTGCACTTGAGAATTTTATTTTTTGACTCAATCCAGAGAAACTTGGGAGACCGTAATGATTCCATCGCTATAAAATTAATATTATTTTCACTAAAAGAAAATGTAATCTTTAATACTACTTTTTATTAATGAACAAACATTATACGTATTTCATTTGTTCAAAAAACAAAATATTAAGAAGAAAATGTGGTCTGTTTCTAGGCTTCATGCAAGTTTTCGACGGCCTGCCGCAGGCATGGCAGTCGCCATGCATGCGAATTAACCTCTGTTAATTGTTTACCAATGCTTTAGAAACAGTGGTGTGGCCTGGGTGTCAGCCGCCCGGGGCGGAGGAAAATTTCGCCGGTCCCTTATTTAGGTATCTCAATTTAAAAGACTAAAATTCAGTTTCGTCACAGAATAAGTAATGAAAAATTCCGTGCTCATTCCGTGCTCATTGCGTACAATCGTAGGTGTGACAAAAATATGAAATGAAATGGTTCAAATTTTTACAAAATATTATTATTATTATTTATTGTGAAATTTTACCGTCCCTTAAAAGTGCTGCCCGAGGCGGGCCGCTCTTGCCGCCCCCACTACGCTACGTCACTGTTTAGAAAGAACCTTATATACAGGCGTCTACGTCTCTCTGGATGGAGGATAAAAACGCCATTGTTAATGTTCGTGCTTGTCTCACGATCAGACGACGATAATCTCTTTTAGAGTTCTTAATTCATTGTTTTTAAAAATCTTAATAACTAAATAACTTAGAATTTTTAGGCTTTATCAGAGGTATTAACTTACATCTGATATGGAGATAATGCAAAAGCAGATATGAAAAAATGTCATTACTGAAATCTAATCTGGCATAGATTTCTTTTACATGTGTACAATACAAACTTTTATAACTAAATATAAGACTACCCTAAACATTACCCCGAGAGGTTGAAATTATCCTAGAAAAGGGTAATTACTCTAGAAATGGCAGCACTTGTTTTGTGTGGGTCATTCAGCTGTTGTAGTCTATCCACTGCCTCAACACCTCCTCAGTTAGGTCAGGACGGACCTGGTGGTAATTGAGAGAATTAATTTATGATTTTTATTTTTTAATTCCGCCCAGTGAGCATTAAGAAACCTTTTCGGTAAGACCATTATGAGTTCAGCCAGGCCCACAATGAGATGACCGGATAACCAGGGACAGAGCCCGAC